CCAAAAATTAAAACTTTTGTTTGACTCTAGTTTGATTAAGAATAAAATTCCCCCTGTTGATACTTTTGATGTTTCTTGCATATGTGTTGTTTGAGTAAAAGTCATGTTTTACCATTTCTTCATAAATTTGAACATGCCACTAAACGTTTTGAGATAATACATAGTGATGTTTGGTTTGCTTCTATTACTTCATGATTGGGGTATAGATATTTCATATTATTTATAGATGATTGTACCAAATATACTTGGATTTATTTTCTAAGATACAAATCGGAAGTCTTTGGTGCATTTAAATTGTTTCATACTATGGTGTAAAATCGATTCAAGTGTAATGTGACTATCCTCTGCTCAGATTCAGGAGGAGAATATAGAGATGGAGACTTCTTGGCATATTTGAGGAGTCATGGAATTCAGTCTCAGCGCAGCCGCCCAGAAACTCCACAACAAAATGGTTTAGCTGAACGAAAGAACATACACATTCTCAGTGTTGTGTGGACATTACTACAGAAGTCTCATACTCCAACTTCGTTTTGGGCAGAAGTAGCCAGTATAGCCATGTATTTGATCAATTTTCTTCCATCCTCTGTTCTAGGCCACATCTCTCCCTTCCAAAAACTTTTTGGTTATCCCCTAGATTTCTTTAGCCTTCATGTTTTGGATGTTTTTGTTTTGTTCATCTTTCTATTCGTGAATGATCTAAATTAACTGCTCAGTCTGCTATGTGTGCCTTTGTGGGATATAGTTCTGTCCATAAAGGATTTTTGTGTTATGATCCTGCTATTCGTTGTATTCGGATTTCTCAAACTGTTGTGTTTGAACATATCACCTTCTTTGCTGGGGTTGCTAGATTGTTTGCTTTTCCATCTCTGTTTTGTGGGACTTTGATTCAAATGACACTACTACTTCCTCAACCAAGTGAGATCTTGTCTTCACCCGCAAGCGGCTACGTGTCCCGGCTTCTACGACTATAACCCTCCTTCCACCCGGTCTAGAGCATTCATCTCAGGTATCCTTTGTAAGTGATACCTTGACCCAAGATCCTCCTATTTCAGATAGTAGTTCAGTTATTCCACTTCGTCGTTCTACCCGTATCTCTAGACTTCTTGACCGATATGGTTTTCCTTCAAACCATAGTTCATTTTCTGTTGTACTTTCTTCCACAGATATCCCTAGATCTTATTAGTAAGCCATTAAAAGTTCTTAGTTGAAAGAAGCTATGGATGCTGAAATTCAAGCCCTCCATGAGAATGGCACCTGGGATCTTGTGCCAGTTCCTCCAGATACTTTTATTGTTGGAAGCCATTGGGTCTATATGATCAAACTGAAATCAGATGACTCTCTTGATCGATATAAGGTCTGGTTAGTTGCCCAAGGATATAGTTAGGAATATGGGATTGATTATGAATAAACATTTGCCCCGGTCGCTAAGATCACCATAGTTCAGACTCTTATGGCCATTTTTGTTGTTTATTCCTGGACTATTTATCAATTAGATGTGAAGAATGCGTTCCTTCATGGCGAATTAAAGGAGACAGTCTACATGAAACCTCCACCTAGATATTGCAGTGATCCTTCACGTGTCTGTTGCCTAAAGAAGTCTTTATATGACATGAAGCAAGCACCCAGGGCTTGGTTTGAGCTCTTCCGGGATGTTACTATAGCTGGGTATAATTAGAGTTCCTCTGACTACTCCCTCTTTGTTAAGAGAAGACCCTAGGGTATTACTATTCTTCTATTATATGTTGATGACATGCTCCTAACGGGGAATAACTGTGACGACATTTGTGAGCTGAAGTCCTTACTTCATAACTCATTTTATATAAAGGACCTAGGTCCTCTCACTTACTTCTTGGGTTTGGAGGTTCATCGTAGCAGTCGAGGGTATTTTATTTGTCAACAAAATTACGCCTCTGATCTCGTCAAAATAGATGGAATCACTGATGAGAAACATGTTGATACCCCCCTGGAGCTGAATGTCAAACTATCCAAATCCAAATGCATCATCCTTCCTGATGCTACCTTGTATCGTCAGCTTGTTGGCTCTTTGATCTATCTTACTATGACCAGGCCTGATATTTCACATGCTGTTCAGGTCGTCAGTCAATTTGTCTTTGCCCCCAAACAACCTCATATGACTGTAGTTTGCCGAATCATCTGTTATGTTTGAGACACAACCTCTCAGGGACTATTTTTCTCTTCTTCATCATCCATACAGTTGAGGGTTTATAATGATGCTGATTGGGCTGGTTGCCCTAACACTCGCCGATCCACTACTGGGTGGTGTGTCTTCATGGGTGACTCTCTCATCTCCTAGAAGTGCAAGAAACAACAAACTATTTCTAAGTCTTCCACTGAAGCCGAGTACAGAGCTATGTCTTCCGCATGTAGCGAGATTGTTTGGTTGAAGTTACTTTTCATTAACCTTGGGATTTCTCTTCCTACTCCTATCCCTCTATATGCCAACAACACCAGTGCTATCAAGATTGCGTCTAATCCAGTTTTTCATGAGAGGACTAAACATRTYGAGGTGGATTGTYACTTTATTAGAGACCTCCTTGTTGCAGGCTCTATATCTCTTCCTCATGTTGCCTCTCACATGCAGATTGCCGACATCTTCACCAAGGCCATGACTAAGAGTCGACATCTCATTCTTATGGGCAAACTGATGCTGATGTCTACGCATCAGTTTAAGGGGGAGTGTGAAGATATATCTTGACGTACATTATTGGAGTAGTGTTTGATGTACAATATCATAGTTCTTATTATTTTATTTGTTCTTTTTATCTTTCAGCCCTGTAAGGGCATTCTTGTAACTGTACATACTTTTCATCTCTTTAATATAAAAGAAACTCTTCAGGACGAGGATCGACTATTCTGATCACCCCTAGACCTGTTTTCTTCTAGATTTGAATTCAATTCATACCGAAGAACTAGATAACCTCAACATCCAGATAGCGTGATTGATTTCTCTCTAAAGGTGATTGAAAAGCATGTGAGGACCGATTGACTATGACATTTCTGCTGCTTCACAGCTAGGGGCATTAGAAACTATTAAATCACGAGACTTTTGGTCATATAATTGAAACAAATTAACATGTGGTTTGGCAGGCCAAGAGTTAGAAATCCACAACTCTGATGTGTGGTAGATAAAGTAACATGAAGGTAAACATTTGTCTCTCTAATTTCTCTGGTTGTTTCCATTATTATACTACTAAACAAATTATTTTTTCTGTCTGGCTCCCTCCAGATTTAGTTTTAGTGGAAACATCAGCTAGATTCCTTAATTATAATTTATAAGTCTCTAGATTGATTAATTTATGCAATCTTACCATAACCAGTTGATACAACTGGTTTGCTGGGCTGGCTCCCTTTTTTAAGTGTTGGGTCCATTACTAGTAGCTCAATTGTTCATCAGTCTCAATTTGATTGATGCATGGTCAATGTGAAAGAGAGAGAAAAGAGTTTTTTTTTTTTTCTTCTTTCGTTTTTTTTGAGGGGCTGGAGAAATACAAATCAGGGATAAAAATTTGGGGTAATTTTGTCGACTAGAGTTTGCGCCAATCATGCCCAAATATATTGTGAATGAAAAATATTGACTAGGTCTAGCAGTCGGTTCCGAGTGAAGCAGATTCTAAATTTTGTGCTAGTCTTAGGCTTGACTTGAGCCCATTAACAAATAGTGCCCGTTTAAGAGGAATTTCACGCTGTGGCTTATGGTTTTGTAAAGTGGTCCCCACATGAAAAAATATCCCAGAAGCTATGTTTGGTGAAAAGGAAGGAAAGCCACGATATGCTTTCATTCACCCCAGAAGTCCACTTTCCGGCTAATTTTAATAGGTTCTTCAAAGCCATTTAGTGAAAGCACCTCAATCAAAGCTGAAGCCCTACCAAACGGGCCCCAAGGTGGCTGTGTTGACTTGAGTTGAGGTGGAGTTGTTTGGGTTGGGTTAGGACTTAGGATGAATCTAAATAAGACTGGGCTTGGGTTGGACAAGGGTTTGACCTCATAATCGGATTATTGGAAATTTGGTTTAGATCCAATTCAAACTAATAAGAATATGGACCAATTTATTTTGAATTGATCCAATCCAATAACTATAATGGGCAGAATTTGATAAGATTTATATTGGATTGGATCAAAACCAAAACCGGTCAATAGACACCCCTACCTACAAACAAACAAAATAATTACAAATATTAAAAAGTTCTAATTAATAAAAGTGACCAAAATTACACTTGTCCAATGTTTTGAAAATCTTAGTCGTATTATAAATTGTAGAGGAAGTTGAGTCGGATTAAATCATGAATCATATCATAAATAATAAGATTATTTTTATTACAAAATTGGTCAAAAAAATTAAATATAGATATATGTACCTAAAAGTTGAGTCGGATGCAATTATTTTTTTTGAAAGCCACTTTACCTAAATTTTAATCTATATCTACAATCTATCTATCTATCTATAGAGAGAGAGAACAATAGAATTTACCACTATATAAGAAGTCTAACATGATATAATAAAATTTGACTTGAAAGTCAACTAAATCCACAAACAATTGCTCTTTAACCTACAGAAAAATATATTCAATTTCTGGTCTTAAATAACAGAAATAAATAATTTCCTAGTAAGTACTTAAAAACAGTCTCTCTGACAAAACTAAATTAATATAAACAACAAAATGACGAATTAGAGAACTAATTCTTAATTGAATTTATTTAAAACATCGTGAATCATAGAAATCATTTACTATTTGAACATAAGATTCGAATTGAAACCCTTGAGATTCTTGAATCGTGAATTTTATTGTAAATCATAAAATTTTGACAACATTCGTTTTCATATATATTCCATTTTATGTTTTGTTTCATATTTCCCTACCTTAAAATTGAAGAGAAAGAAATTATTTTCATATATAAATAACTAAAATGTTAGCTCTGTCAACTCTATGAATATGGTCCAGATTTTAGAGCACTGGTTTACTGTAATGCCAAGACCTGATAAACAATAAGTGTGATGCCACCTTTCATTAATGAACTACTCTTAATAAATTAAATAATTATATTTCCTTTAACAATTATATATGTACATTATAGATTGGATGTTTCGGGCATCTCAATCTCAGACAATTGGGTAGATTGAGGGTGCTCTGGAGTGTTGTATCCGTTGACAGAATCCCAACTTGAAGAACTCCAATCCTCCACCGGCACAACTTGTGCAGAAGCTGGGTCTTTTTCTGGATTATTAAGTTGGCTTTTATGGAAATACTGCGCCAGCCTCACTGTCCGATTCCACAAGCTTTCATCTTGTGGAGACACGTTGACCTGGTGAGCATCTGGGTCTTGTCGATATTGTCTGAATATATGAAGAAGATACAGTAGGAAGACAATGGTGGAAGTCCCTCCGGTTAGAACGAAAAGTCCCCAAAAGCTATGGAGGCTTAGGCTTTCGTTGTCAATGTCAAGTTTGGAACTCGAACACTTGGGGTTCTTAGGAAACCACTTCTTCTCTACTTCTTTAATACTTCCATTCTCTGATAACATTAAAATGGCTTTTGATACATGAGCAGCTAGAGGAGAACCCTTTGGAAAAACCTGCAGGAAATTAGAGTATTATTACTTGCAAATAATACTGTGTAACCTATTTAACTTTTTCAAGGAATCATCCAACCTAAAAGTAAACAATACGTCCTTGAATAGCAAATGTTGAAGGCTAGCTCAAGATGCTGGGAAATGGGTACTTGGATTTACTTGTCCTTAGATATGCATGCTTACATTGGAGCCAAGTGGGTGGAACAAGGCCAACTGACATTCTGGATTTTTTTTTCTTTATATTTTCTATAAGCCTAGAGATTTTAATTTTTAATTTGAGTTTCTAGAGCCACATCGGCTAATTAATTCTAGAAGTTAAGAACTTCTAGCTAGAAAGTGTATCATCTTTCAACAATTACAATGGGGGTAATGAACTATTGTCAAGGAATCGTTCAACCTAAAAGCTTAAGCTGTTAGATGAGCCCTTGAATAGGGTTTCTATTCTCTAACAAACTTAAATATGAGAGAAAATCTAGGATTAAGAAAAGGCTGATCTTGTATAGAGAGGAGCAGCAGCTGCTGTATGTTGTGATGTTATCCGTCAATGGATTAAGAATTAAAGAATTGCAGGAAAAAAACAGAAGAATTATAAGAGAGAAACGACTTACAAAACCCAGGCCTCCAAATCTATAGGTCTGTTCAGTTGCAGTGTAATTCTTGCAATGTTTAGAGAGGAAAACTTTTTCATAGGGAAGCTCCAGGAAGGCAGCTTTAATTTTGCCGCTATCGAATTCACCTGGATAGTCGTATTCGCTAGCAACATTCTTGATATTTTCTGACTTGAATTTGAGAACATCTACCAAGTATTTCCTTATGAACGAGTCACCATCGCATCCAACTTTTGCATTGTCCGTCTTTAAGGATTCGATATCTGTCACAGTAGGTTCCAGTCTTTGAACAGTGAGAATTGAAGTAAGACTGGCCGTGTAGCTTGAATTCAGGACTAATACCACGAACAACCACACCACAATCGCCAATCGAGTGAAGTTGCTGTGGAGCCTCTCCCCTGTAAATTAAAAGCAAAAAATTAGATCATGCTTATTAACCCAGAAGGAAAATGAAATGGCTACCTTAATTGATCGAATTCATTCCTTTGACCGTTACACGAAGTATTAATTAACTGAATAATCGACTCTTGATACTTACTGTGGGCAAAGAAAAGGGTGGAGAAGGTAAACCACAAAGCTGTGCCGAGTTGACTCTTCCATGGACCTCTGAAGTTCTGGTTGTTTCGGTGCTCCAAGAACCAGACTATAGACATTGTGTAGACTAAGACGGCACCGGTGGTTAACCACATAGCCTTGGTGAAAGGCTTCATGAACATCCATGCCTTCTGAAATTCTTTTCTCACAGGGACTACCATTGACAACCCCGACTCCGCATACGGTTGAGTGAATTCTACGTAGTTGGATCGGTTGTCTAGGATCGTCACATCGCCGACCACAGCATCGAATTTCTGTCATCAATTTTGACCAAGAACCAACAGGAAGTAACAGTGTTAGGGAAAATACGAAAGAAGGAAAAACTCTAGCTCCTACAGATCTTACGTTAACGTTTGAATTTCGTAACCCCCCTCATCCCCGCGGAGTTTTATTCCAAACTAAACGTGGAATAAGGGATCCTAAAGTCAATGATTTAGTAGGGGATAAGTAGATGAGAAAGAGATTCTCTCTCTCTCTCACTTCTTTGTGATGACTAGGCTCAGAAGAAACTACCTTGTAACTTCTCTGCTTGTTCATACATAGAAGACTGCTATTTCTAAGTCAAAGGAAATTAAATATGTACCAGAGAACATTCAACACATGCACTTCAATAATTCAAAATGTCTGATTTTTGTGTGTTTTCTGGAATGGACTGCCTGGGGAATTGGCAATGAATCACTCCACGAAGCTCCAATAATGGCATGATTCTTCCCATCCGGGAAGATCAAATTTGTAGGAAAATTTGCATATTCATAGGTTAATAAGCTGAGGTGCTTGTTTTCAGAGACGGGTTCATCACCTGGTAATAAACCTGTTCAACAAGTTCATCATACAAGCCATGAAAAGGCACGAACTCATACAGCAAAGAATAATCATTGGTTCGGTTTGGAAAAGCCGCTTGGAAGATATCAATGCAGAAACCTGTAAAAGTTCTTTTGTTCTCATTATCTTCCACCTTCACGAACTTCTGGAAAGAAGTTTTGCCTRGGACACCGATTCTCATCAGTTCACCGTTAGAAGGAAATCCCCAACCTAGTGGAGCTCGCTGTAGTCCTCCCGGCCAATTTACGGGACCAATCAAGCCTTCCTTGGTTCTAAGAGTACGACCACCACCGCTTTTCTCTCCGAGATTCTTGAAGAAACCAATGTCAGACGACCAGAAGTCTAGCTCTTTGTAACTCTTTCCGAACACATTTACTATTTGAAAAATTGGCGAGATTGATAATTCTCCGTCTGTGAATCGAATTTCTCCACTAAAACCATTGAAATCAGTTGATAGGATTTTCTCTAATAATACTATTGAAGTACTACTGTTACTAGTTGATTTCTCCATCATTGCCCGTGTTAGTGTAGAGATGATATCGTGTGCTCGGAGAGCATAAATCCCAGGTTCAAAGTAATCTTCTTCCGGATATCGCGACCGAAATTTTCTTTTGAATTCACTGTAAAATTCTTTGAACAACGGGCTGCTGTATGAGAAATGGGTCTTAATTCCCAAAACTCCTTGCATGGAGGAGATGACAGAAGAGTTAACGGAATCAAGGACACTGGTAACAGCATCTGTAATTATCCAAACGGACTCTTTTTCCATCAAACCCATCTCTTTGGCTTCTGTAAAAAGGTGGGTGACGAATGGTAAGGATGACTGGACAAGGATGAACACCCTCAGTTGCTTGCTCCTCAGCTTCTCCAGCCCATGTCGAATTGTGGCTTTTGGATCAGACAAAGAAGACAAAGGTGGGAGAGCCATTCGATATTCAATCTCCGAGCCTACTGCTCGGAGGGCATTGGAGAGAAGATCGACCATCCCTGAATCGCTGCCATAGGTGTCATCTTCAGAGATTGTTATGACCCTCTTCCACTGGTAGACCTGGACAATATCCGCCACGCATTTCATCTGTGTGGACCCATTGTTACTCATCCTTACCAAGAAAGGCCATTGCATGGACGTTAGTGATGCAGAGGCCGAGGACGTAGCCATGGACAAAACAGGGACTTGTGCTCGATTCCCGACTTGGGCAACTAAAGCTGTCTCCTGCCATGTCTCCATCCCAAGAATTGCTTGCACTTGGTGCTTGTTAATGAGCTCATCCGCTGCAATTTATCATGCTTTCAATTAAAAAGTAATTGAAAATTAAACAAATGAATTTAATAAATGGTGGAATTAAGGGAAAGTGATAAAAGAAAACTTAATTACCAGCCGAGGCCGCTTGAAGGGGATCTCTGTCTGAGTCACGAACATGGAGGACTAGCTTGTACGTTCTATTTGGGTTTTTGTTAGTGCTATTGTTGTTGAAGTTCTGGACTGCTATTTCAATGGCCAACTTCTGTTCTTTTCCGATACGGGAATTAGCATTGACAATTGCACCGATGTTCACTGTTGTGTCACCACTGCTATCTCCGTTGACTGAGGAAAGGCCATGGAAGAGAAGAAGGCAAAATATGAATATGAACGAGTAACAGGATCCTGAAGGTGTACTGATTCCCTTTTTCATTAGGGTGCTTTGTAATTAAGTAATCTATGAATTTAGAGATGGATTCAAGATGAGAAAAGGGGAGGGGATTTGAGCTTTAAGTACAGCATTTTCGTGGCGCTGACCTTGGACTGGATCTACTCGGTAATGTTTGGGAACACGCAAGACGAAAGACAGGAACGTAACCCAGATGGATTCTTTGTTTGACCGACTAAACTCGGTTGCTCATAATTGGTCGATGTCAGCCGAGTTAGAATCTACCATATTGTTCGTACAGCTCTGTAGAACTATAACTGTATAACCAATCATGAATGGACACGCTAGCGTTTCATATAGGTTGGGTCCGCATGATGATGTGAATAGAACACATTTGCTAACAGAAGATCCGAAGTCATCTTGGCAGTTGGATTGAAATATCTTTCGGTTGATGTACGGCCCTGGATTATTTTACAGTTGGATTGAAATACCCGGTGGGGCTTGGGAATATATAACCTTTTTTTTTTTTACAGAGCTTTTATATTAGAGAAGAAATTACAAGAAGCTTTGATGCTGCCACACAGTCCTATTATATTTACAAGCATTATACTCTAAGTTATGGGCTGTACTATTTTACATCTATTTATATCTATCTTTATATATAACAATAAATATTAAAGTATTGGTATCGGGTATTGATGAAGGGTTTTTTTGGCAGTACTCTGATGTTTTGACTACTTCATGGTGGTTGATGACTTAGAGGTCGAGCTAGAGTATTTCTACTGGACGAAGGCTTGGATGCCGAACTGATTGGATTGAATTAGGAGGCTGCTTGGATGCTTAAGTTAGTGTTAGAGGACTCGGGGTGGCTGCTTGAATTAGGAGGCTGCTTGCAAGAAAAAAGTGTTAGAGGACTCGGGGTGGCTAACCCAGCCAGGTAACTCCGATGCTTAAGTTAGTACTCTTGTAGTAGATTGCAAGATACAAATCAGAAAGTATGAGATCTAGAATGTACTTAATCACCTCTCTCTTGTGTCTTTGGGGTTGGTGCCTTTATATAGGCATTGTTCGGTGTGGGCCTCACGCACTGCATCCGAGATTTCTGGGAGGTTGTGCCTAACCGGTCCGAAATCCTCAGAGGTAACTACCATGCATGTTGAGAAACGTGGGAGAGTCAAGATATGCATGCCGAATTTGTCAGCGAGCATGGCTCGCATGCCGCCGCCTGGACCTCATTCAGGACGACACACCCTAAAGGTAGGTCGCTCCTTCCGTCGAGGTCACTTCGGCTAGTGACGAGGTACCATAGGTCAGCCCTGGACGAGGTGCTTCTAGCCGACCTGAGTTGTGGTCGAAGTCGCCAGGTTGGCAGTGAAGGCAGGTCGCTAGGTTGGGGCGAAGAGAAACCGCGATATGGGACTCCAAGTCATCACTTAGGTGGTATCCAGGTGTCATCTAGCTGTTCTGAGATGCCATGTGCCACAATGTCATTGGAGGGCCAAATCCGCCCTCATCAGGTATCATATCAGATAGCTTGAATATGGATACATTTTGGAGACACATTGATACGGACAAAAAACATGAATGGATTTAGATGTGCTAGGAAAATGAACTTTAATTTCATAAATATATTATTAACAATAGGTTAAATGTTAAAAGAGCAACAAATAATGTATAAATACATAAGAATTGTATATTTTGACGGTATATATATATATGAAGAAATATATTACAATTAATATAGAAAAGTGCATAGATATCATACAATTTTATTGATATGCATCAATCAAGATTCTAAGAGACATATTATATAGATTTTTTACAAATTAATACATGCACAAAGCCATTATTATCTTATTTTATATTAAAGTCCAAGGCACAAAACTTATGCAACTATTATATTTCAATTATTATATCATTTTTTTCTATTTTACTACTTATAATTTTTAAAATTAACAAAAATGTTAACTAAAAATTAATTTCAAAATTTTGGTAAAGAATATTTTCATTTTTGTAAACAATAAATATGTTATTATAAAATGAAATCAAAATATTAATTGATAATTTATAAAAATACATAATCCTAACTTAAAATATATCAAATATATTTAAATTTAAAAGATACATATTATATGAAAATTCATAAATTTTAATTACTACAATAATTATTTCATTATTTATATTTATATTTTTATAAATTTATAAAAAATAAAAATATTTTTAATATAATTATAGATTAGTGGATTTGATAGACTCAATTCATATTACATTTTAAAATTTTTTATAAATAATATTTTTATTTTTGTAAATAATAAATACATGGTTATTTAATGCAAATTAAAATATTGGTTAATAGTTTATAAAAAAAAAAATTTGAGGTATATATCATGTGCAAATTTGTAAAATTTAAGTATTATAATAATTATTCTATTTTTAATATTTTAAATTTCTTTAAATTAGAAATCAACTTTTTGATATAAATGTTGGTTTGATAGATTATTTATTCCATTGGTTTATAAAATATTAATCTTTTTATTTGCAATTGGAATTGTTGGATATAAGTGTATGTTGGTTGTTGCCATTTTATGTAGATATTTATGTAAAAAAAGTTTATGTGTTCAATTTATTGACATAAAATAAAAGTTGGCTTAGTAGTTAAAGATGTATCATTCTTGGGGCCCTAGTTGACTTGGGGTTTGGGGTTCAAGTCACACTTGGTAGCTCTTTTTATATTGAATTCAGGTGTATTGTCAAACTGAGGTTTGATATGCTTTCGTATCGGTGCTTGTATTAGTCGATGTTGCATGATCCAGACCGACACGATGGCCTATCGGACCAATACGCACGACTGGAAGGATACATTTCCAATCAATATTTTAATCCTTGTATAGCCAAATAGTCCAAAATTAATAATAATAATTTTTTACAAAATTAATGGTGAATTATGTAACAATAGTACTAATTATAATTTTATGGATTATTAAGTTAAACTAGTAATTAATACATTAAAATTTTAAATGACAATATTATTTAAATAACTAAGTAATATTGTAAATAACTAATTTCACTTATATCAATTAATAATTATAGAAAATAACTTTCAGAAAAATAATATTTATTAGTAATAATTTTACAATAATAATGTATATTCATTATGTATTTATATATAATACATTTAATATTTATTTTATTTTTGATAAATATATTTTCAATAATTTTTTAGATATCTATTTTTGTTTTGTTATTTAGCAGTAAATTGTCAATAATTTTTAGATATTAAACAACTAATAATTTATTGCATTTTTGTTATAAATTTATTTTTAGTAATTCTGTATTTGTTATAATTTATTGATTAATATTTATTAGAGATTAAACTATTATTTGTGATTACACTATTTATTGTCTAATTTTATATATTTTTAGTATCTATTGTATTTTTATTAGTTATCTATTGTATTTTCATTATAAATTTATTTTCAATAATTGTATATTTTTGCTACAAAATATCAATAGTTATTGGAAATTAAACTATTAATGTTATTTATTAGAGATTTGACTTTTAATTTAGCTGAAATTAGGTGTGTTCAAGGATTGGTTCAGTTTGGTTATAGGATGCTTGGCCAACCAAATCAACCTGGTTAGGTCAGGAGTTTGTCACTCGAAACTGATTGACCATTAGTGCAAGGGCAGATTTGGCCCTCCAGTGAAATTGCGACACGTGGCACCTCGTGACAACAAGGCAAGCACCCAGGCAACAACTTA